AATAACGTAGCTGAAGTTCGAAGTACCTTAGTTCGATTTGGGGGTTTAGTGTAGACCAAGTCTTAGTCTCTTCCCCACCTGTTGTCTTCTCCCCTAGCCAGTTCCAGGGCTTCTCATGCCAGTCTCTCTCACCTCGAGGCTCCTTGTCTACACCTCAAGTGACCTGTCAAACTAACACAACTCTACTGAGCATGTATAAACTCTGATTTTTCATGGGAGAGCAAAAACCACATCCTTGACATCTGGGTATTGGAAACAGCTAAACAGTTTTCACTGAAACTTAGACTTGCTGGGCAGACACCCAGCATGGGAAATTTTCAGCCCAAGCAATTGAAGTTTGGCAGTTATAAAGCAAGTAAAATCGGGGTCTTATAATATGAAGTGTCTGTCAAGCTTAACTATAGGTGGTGTTATCGGCTTAGGCTATAATAATTGTCTACTGCTGGGTTTCTTGCACCTTCCTCTGAAATATCTGGCACTGGTAGAGACAAGATATTGGCCTAGATGGACCATTGGCTTGATGCAGTGTGATAATTCCAATGTTCCCAATGAGGGCTTCACCTTTTAATACAATGCCACCATATTAGAGTTAAAAATTGTCCTGTCTGTAAAATTTTCTTTTTTGGGACATTGCACAGAGTATGCTCAACCACTGGTAGGGGGAATCGTTGGCACACTTCATCAGAGATCAACCTTTAAACCAGAAGAGGGAAAAGAAGCAAGCTATGCTGATGTGGATCCTTACAACTCACCTGTACAAGAAGTTTATCATGCTTACGCTGAACCATTGCCTGTCACTGGACCAGAATATGCAACCCCAATAATCATGGACATGTCAGGTCATCCCACTGCACCTCTTGGTGTTTCTTCTATTTCTACTTTCAAGGCTACAGGGAACCAAGCCCCTCCCATAGTGGGAACTTGCAATAAACTCTTAGCTAGAACAGATAGCTCATCATCTGCACATGCACTGTATGATACACCAAAAGGGATGTCTGGACCGGATTCCTCAGTTGAATTGGTGTACCAGGTACCACAGAGCATGCCACATTTCACAGGAAGTTGAGAACTGAGGTAAGTCATGAATGAGCTAGGGGGTGGCAAATGTGAATTCTTAAAACAAAATTCTTTGAAGGTGACTATATTAAAATGTCAGTTTTGAATCACATTGAATTTTTTTGTATTGTAAGTTGTAGTAACATGGAGTTGGACAAAAATGTGATATCAGAGGTCCAGGAAACTAACAATCCTGCCATTTCTTTGAGGGTATATACATATGATTGATTTGTTGCTGTTCAGAAATCATGGACACCCAGTTTACTACTGTACATGAGAGAGAGAGAGAGAGTAGGTCCCTAAGATGAACTTCAGCAATTGATAGTCACGCTGCATGGAGAGGAGAGATACTTTGCTATAGCCTGAGAGCCAATAATTTAGACCTTGCTGAAGGTACGGTTCCTGAAATACCAAAAAGCTTTAACATTTCTGAAATCCACATGCAACTGAGGGATTGTACCCAACATCTAGTTTCCCCAAAGAGAACTTCAAAAACTCTTGATATTTCTGGGACTGCTCCTGCTGTAACTGAACTCTAGGACAAAACTCCCACTGACTTCATCGGAAGCAGGATCGAGCTTGAATGAGTACAAGTGTTCCACCTTTTCTTTGTGGGATCGGCAATCCGGAGTTGCTGGAAATCTCTAAGGTGAGCTACTTCAGAGGAAACAATTTTTCTACTGTACTTAGCTTCCTTTTAAAAAAAACTAAACCCCAACATCTGTTAGCTTTGTAATGTAAGTTGTTACCTTTGCCACATCTTCTCAAGTCTCGTTGACTTTAAGGTCAGAAGGGACCATCAAGATCACCTAGTCTGACCACCTCCACATTGTAGGCCACAGAACCTCACCCCTGTCTTTTCTAGTGATAATTTCTCTGTACTTATTCATTGTGTGGTCAGACTCTTTTCTAAACAGAGACTACAGTGTGATCAGTGTCCTTAACAATTGGTTACTTGGGAATTTATCCCTAGTAAGTGAGACTACTGAATTATCCTAATTTGAATCCTCCGAGTTCCCAATTGCCTCTGCAATGAGGCTGAAAACTTGGTCATTCTTTGAGGAAATTGCAGGTCTAGAAGAGTGACACTTTTTTTTAAAGAACTTGTACTGGTTTAAATCAGTAGGCAAGTACTGCTGAGCGCTTTTAAGATTAAGGGACAGGTTTTCAAGCTCATGCACAAAAATGGCCAGCGTAAGCACATGAATAAAATGACAACTGCATGAAAGTTGGAGTTTGTGCATAGACATAGCAGTTTATTTACACAAACACTACACTTCAGGGGAGTTGCGGGTACATTTTGGCCAGGTGCATTTGAAAATTTGGTCCTCTGGACTTGTAAACATAACTGCTCATGTCTAGAATGAAGGGTGAAAATAACCAAGTCTTAACAAACAAATTGAGATTTGTTTTAAAGTGTGCAACAGTTTAGAAGCTACTATGTAACCTATTGGATTCATCATATACTTGATTGTTTCAACTGTCCCTGCAGTGTTTTTATTTTAGAATTAAAGCTGTGCTGAATTTCATAACAAGAGAAATGGAGATAGAAAGCTCCATAGCTTGGTTTAACCTTGCCAAATGAAAATTTCTCTGGATGCTGTTTAAAAAAAATACACCACCAAATTGTTTTAATCACTTCGACATTTATCTTGTAGAAACAAAGCATAGCTTGTTTTGATTAAACAAATAATGGTGAGTAGTGAAAAACTTCTTTAAATATCTTTTTTTTTTTTTTAATGGCACTGTTGGGAGGATACTGAAAAAATTTATAAATGTGACATCCTTGCATACACAGTAGCCCAGTTTTATGGATTTTTCTATTGATACATGAGTCAAATGAGCCTTGTTTTTTGTCCAGGGCCTATATAATTGGATGTACAACTAAATATAGATATAAACTAATGCTGGTAAAGGTGACTGTGCCAATCCCAAATGTTAGAAAAATCTGTTTAGTACCTTACTTCATTCTTGCTGCAAATTGGAAAGATTTACTCTGCCTTTTCCCTTGATACTGAGTTTTTACAAAAATGTGATGCATAACTTATTTTTCTCCTGTTACTGAGGTACTAATATTAATCACATTTGTGATAGTAACCATTTGGAATTATGTGCACTGTGTTTTAAGGCCTGCTCCTGCAAAGTCTTGTGACTAGTTCTACTGATGAAAATAAAGTTTTGTAGGATTCGCCTCTAAATTTAAATGTGAATATTTTAAGTAAGTCTCAGTGGCCTACAAGCCTCAGCCTTCCGATAAAACTTTCAATTATGAGCCCCGTTACTTATTTGTACTAGTCCATTGTTTAATGAAAGGATTACATAAATATTTGTTAAAATTCCCACAGCTGGTGATTGTTCTATCTGGTATTTATTTGTTTAAAGAAAACTAGAAGTTTGGAGACACTAGCTCTTAAATGTGTCTGACAAACTTATTCTGGATAAAAAAAAATGTAGTGCAACCTACGGGCAATCTGCGCACATCGGCGCTTTGAAATAAATTTAACTAGTGAATTGTCAAAATTTAGATCAAAGCTTTAGCCAAAAGAAATGGCTTAGCAGAGCTTATTTCACAATAACTTGAGAGTGATGCAGGGAAAAAGGTAAAGATTTGCTTTAACCAGCTGCCGTATGAAAGCTGGGTCTAATATCTATCTGTACCCCAGCCATAGCACATAAGAAATGAGTGCCTTTGAATAAATTCACTTGTTTTTAAGGCAGATCAGAATTTCAGTAGAAAAACATCTAGAAGCCAAATCCCTCCAATGCAGTAAGAGTTTGTTTATAGAACAATACAGTTTGTCTTAAAAATCAGGACGACTTTAAAAAAAAAAAAAGCCAAAATATTTTAATTCTCTTTCCAGGTTTACAAAAAGCTCACTTTAAGTTGATTTTGCCACTTCAAAATTTTTTTTTACTCTGTGCCTCTTGCATGAAATGTTGTCATTTTTACCATGCCAGGATTACATGCCTAACATACAGTTCAGCATCAAACTTGAGCTAATGGCCTCTATTGTAGATTTTAACTGAATGTAAGATGCATAACTACATGTGGCATTGTCCCATGTACAGTAAAACCAGAGGTACACTGAGGGGTTCTTTATTCTATAGCAATAATGGATACAAAAAATCATAATATGAAAATGGCTGTTCTGTTCTCCCAGAATGTACTTTCTTACCTCAGCCTGTACTGTAGTTACTCTGTATTTGTATATATTGCTAGACTTTAGATTGTATAGATAGAGATTTTTATGTATTTTGAATAAATTGTACATATGTATCATGCTCAGGAATGATTGTGTAGAACTCATAAGAAAATTCTAGGCTGATATGAGTAGTGTGTATCCTTGTCTTTCTTGACACTAGTACTAAATCTAATAATACTAGAATGGCTTGCATACTGCTTTTGTATGGTAGATTCATTTTTTAGCTCTCACACTAAATCTGGAAGTCTATTACACTATTTCTGGCCTATACCTCTAAGTTGCTCTTTCCTCCATTCGTTGTAGGCATCAAGGATGCTAGTGTAGCATCTACCCCAGCAGTAAGCAATTTTAAATGAAGCTTCTTTAAAAACCTTCAATTAGCGTGAATAAATGAAGACTTGGCACACCACTTCTGAAAGGTTGCTGATGCCTGATCTATCCTATTGTGACTACCTGTATTTACTTTCTGGTGCATCGAGTTCTTCCATGATACAAGAGGAGGCTGATGCCAGTTTAGATAATTCTGTGTCAGGTGACATGTTTGTACATTTAAGACAAACTTACTCTTAGAAACTGTATTTTAATATGCTGAATGTAACTAACTTCATTTAGAAATCCTGCTCTGGGGCATTAAAACAAGTAATCAAAAATAGTTTAGGGGAAGGCCTTTTTTCCCCTGTACCATTGTACACAATGGGTGATTACAATCTTAACTATAATAATCCTAGTGTCACTTTGTGTAAAATTAATTCCTAGGTACTAATCAATATATTTTATTGAATAATTTAACTTAAACACTCAAGTGCCTCCTTCCAGTGTGCAAAATTCCTAATGGTTTTAATGCCTCCTCCTAGATCACTATAACTGTTTAAGGTGCTCAAACCACTGGGTCTGAGAGTTTCCTTACCTGAAAATAGTACCAAAGAACAAACTTGTATTTACATTGTCATTTAAAAATCAACTTTCATGTACATGACTAAATAGCCATTAACCCCAAATTTTATCTTCATGATTCTGGCTACATCTTAACTGTTAATAGTGCAGATTTGGAAAACTAAGGTGCCCAACAGGGAGAGATCTGTACATACAGTGACAACCCTAAAAGGCTCTTTGACCTAGTGATCAGATTTTTGCAGGGGAGGGGGGGGGGGTGGTCTCATTGCAAAAGATTAAGTCTTTCAATTATTTTTTCCCTTTCTAAAAAGATATCTGTTCTTCGCAAGATTCTGTTAAGTCTTCTCTTAAGATGATCATTGCCCAAGATTCTGTCATTCTCCAGTGGCTGGGAAACAGTAGTCTTCTCTTTCAATGTGTGCCACTTCTCTATTTCAACTCTTGTATTACAGAGGTGTTCCTAAAAAGAACACATACATATTAGCTAAAATTATAGATACAGCTGGACTAGCAGATAGAGTCTATATTGTTCATATTTAAGCACTAGTAAGCAAGGTAATTTGACAGTTGATTGGAGGGTTTCCTTTGAAGTGAGACTTCTCTATCATAACTACACAGATACCATGCAAACTGGTCCAGAATGCTAATGTTAGTAATTGTATGTGCACTTCAGGGCTTTCAACCTAGCCTCAATCCCTTACTTAATGAGACAGATAGAAGGATGGTGAGCCTGCTGCCAGTCCAAAGCAATCACACTTGAAGTTTACATCACTGTCATATACAAAGTAATTGTTAAGTCTAATTACATTCTCTTATTAACTAGTACTGCTAAAGGTAACTTTACCTCCTGCTACATAGTCCAGCTAAGTTTTATCAATATACATCCGGTTTAGGATCACTGAAAAAAGTCCCAAGGGAATAGCCTGCCAAGTGACATGTTGGGCGGGGGGAGGGAGAGAGTGTGCACAGCAGAATAATAGAAAAGCTCTAGTTACTATTACTGCACCCACCACACTGGTATCTGAGCACCTAGATTTAGGGTGAGTTCACTCTAAAAAAAAAAAAGTATGTGCATAGCATCCACCTTGCAGTGTAGGCCCCATTAGAACAGACTTTGACTTCCAATAGTTAAAGCATGCAATGACCGTTGTTTACTACTCCACAACCCCACCTCCACCAAACCATTGCACCCTTATGCCTGACTGACCTGAACTTCTGCTAGTTTTGACTGTGCTGCTTCAACTTTGCATTTCAGCTTCTCCACATCTTCCTGGTAGAAAATAAAAAAATGCAACCGTTTTCAAGTACACTCTAGGTCGATAATCCCATTGACAGAGTACAGCAGCTCATCGGAATGGTGTAGGGCAGAAACATACCAGCATTTCTACAGATTAAATACCGAAAGGGAGCACCCAGCCATTATTGGATTTTCAAAGAGCCACATCCCACTGCCTGTGAAGGGATGGAAAAGCCACGTTGTAGACACAGTTTCCTTGGTACCTTCTGCAGTCACTGAAAAGTAAATAGTATGACACCACAAAGTGCTTACAGTGTAGTCACAGGCCACGAATGAGCTGCACCACTAGATTACTCCTCTGCAGAGATGAGTGAAAAGGTTTTTTAGGCAGAAGAAAAATTTCAACCAAATTTGCTACCACTCCAGAACAATCCATAACTTAGTTTTCCTTGTCACCACTGTCAGCCTTAAAGCTTTCCTCTACAATTCTAGGTTGAGGCTCCCCCACAAACTAGCAACTATAGGTGCTGCAGCTTGGTCTGAGCTACCCAAATATGATCAGATTTATTTTTTTAACCAGAACATTCTTGAAAGCTGTGTAAAAGACTTGCACTTACCTGTAGTAAGCAGTTTTACCCTCATCCCTTACAAAAAGCAGGAGTCTTAACTTGCAAGTTTTGAAATAGTTAGTGGAGAAACAGGTCTTCAATCCTTACACCTTTTATCATGCCACTGGTAAGTAGAGTCACCCACTTTCTATGGACCAAGCCTCATCTTTTCTTCATAAACCCACTTGTTTCCGCACTCCCACTGCCCCCTCATTATCTTACACCCAAAACTGTTCCATACACTGGCCTTGTATCCCAGATTCTATTTCTTTAAAGTTCTGCACACAGTGATCTAGAAGGACAAGGGACTTACTAGGAGGAGGGGTTGTACAAGATGGGCTATAGGCAGTAAGATAACAGAACTTACTTGTGCTTGCTGTAGTCCGTGTTTTGCTTCCTGTATCCGTTGTTTACAAGATTCTCTTTCCAGCCTGGAAGACAAACACATTAACATTTCCCTACTCTGCTCCCTATTTCTGATGATCAGAATCCCTTTATGGAATTACAGCCTTCTAAATTAATTGGTGTTGACATGCAGGAGGACAAGGATGAAAAGGGAATGATTTAGTTCACTTAAGAATTTGTATTGTACCTAAGCTTACGGCTAAACCCTTTAAAGAAGTGAATGAGTTTTTTTGGGTTGATCCAAATATGTCAATGGTTTTAAGCCACAACGAAATCAATGCAGCTTAACCAGCAGTTATAAGACCAGGCAAACTGCTTCTTAGATAAGGTTCAAAGGCCATTTAGTGCAATCAGTATGCTCAACCAGATCCTGCATGCTTGCCACCACGAGTTATGCATAAAGATCATGTTCACTTTTAGAGAGCAGATGTAATTCCAGTTAGCACTGGACATGGAACTCATCAGTCCAAACAATGGCTATTTGAGTTACTGGCAAAAGTTTAAGTAAATGCAATGCCATTCATCTTGAGCAGAGCCTTGGGAGGACTGCTTGAATATGCACATTAACTGAGCATGCAGTTATGTGAAATTAGGTATTCCAAGGGCTCAACAACTGGGCAACCTCTTCTGAGACAGGCACAGTGAAATCAATGGGAGTTTATGCAGCAACTTGCTTGCACCTACAATTTGGCCCCTAACGTTTTGTATTTGTGACAGAAAGAGAAACACTTTAAAAAAACCAAACAAATATAGCCTTGTGACATTTCCTATCTTCCAGTATAAAGCATACACTAACAGCTGCTAAACTTCCCCCACCCCCACCACTGAATGGACAAGATGTTAGGACTGTTCAGACATCAATTCAATATGGAGATAGACAAATTATGCAAAAGGAACTATTTCTGCACACAATGCACAGTCAATCTGTGGAACTCTCTGATGGGATTTTGTGAAGGCCACGACTAACAGGGTTCAAAAAAGAACTAGATAAGTTCATGGAGGATAGGTCCATCAATGGCTGTTAGCCAGGATGGGCAGGAATGGTGTCCCTAGCCTCTGTTTGCCAGAAGCTGGGAATGAGCAACAGTGGATGGATCACTTGATTGCCTGTTCTGTTCGTTCCCTCTGGGGCATTGGCCACTGTCAGAAGACAGGATACTGGGCTAGATGGACCTTTGGTCTGACCTACTATGGCCCCTGTTATGTTAAGCTTCCCAGTCCTCAAATTGAGGGGGAGGTTCCCCCCCACACACTCACGAAAGGGAAGCTGTAGCTTTAAGTTTCAGCCTACCATTATGCCACAGTTCTACGCTAGTCACGGTGTGTTTGTACAGCACAAAGTTGTAGTTAAGTGTATAAATTAGAAAAAGATTCCACCCCCTTCCAGAAAATTCTCTAAACCTGTTGGTTTCCTCTACCTTATTCCCTGTTTCTGAGGCAGTTGGGCAATGGAATGTTTTAACTTCTTTAGCTCTTTTGTAAGTGCCTGAAGTTCAGCCTTCTCTTGCTGTTGAACATGCTGCACTTTCACAGGATTCAGCTGCCCAAGCACAGCTTTTGCTGGCAATGCTTCGACAGCGGCAGGATCCATTTTCTTACCCAGGAAGGCTCTTCCAAGTTGGACTGTTCTATCATAAGATGTTTTCTGAAGTGAAGGCAGAAAGTCAGTGTTTCATTAACAGCAAAAATATCAAATGAAAAAGTTATTGCACAAGTCAACAGGTTTCATGTTAGAATACAGATATATATTCTTGGTTAAAAGATACTGGTAGAGTAAAACACTCCATGAAAACTCATACTAATAGGTCTAATCCAAGCCATTATGTAGGCTTGTTTCATAACCGCTTAGGGTAAACTCAAACAGATGTTTTGTATTACTGTACACAATCTTACCTGATTTACAAAAATGCATTAAGAACAAGGAATTAGCAGGACTTTTTACACAAAATGCTTTATAGATGTTAATTGGCTAAAGCCTCATACCACTTTTATGAAGTAGGCGAAGGCTGTATATCTCCTCACCCACCTCTGGAGAGAAATATAGCACCAGTTTAACTGCAGCACTCCTTAACTGTTTAGGGGAAAAGTTTAATAACTTTTAGGAAAAGTTACTAAAATTAGAAGTTGGTCAGGAACTAAGCTAATTCTCCTACTGGTGTAAAGAGAGTCAGGAGATTTTTAATGACCACAAATGGTCAGGTTTTGTTATAATGTCTTATCTGAAAAGCAGCATCTCCACCAGCATAAAGGTCACTAGCACCATGCTTTGTCATTGGTTCAATAGCAACCAATTCAGAAAAAGAGTGTCACTTCTGAATCAGTAACACTACTTCCTGCATCATCCAGGTATTTCTGGAAGACGTCCCATATCTAAGTTCTGATCCAGCATGATGCTGCATAACTTATGAAATACAAAGATCACAACACACCTACCCAAAAGTTTTTCATATCCTTTAAGCCACAACTCCTTTTAGGGTCCCTGAATCATAACCACTCTCTAGAAAGCTGTCAGTGCTGTTGCTTGTTTTCTATAGGTTCCTGTTCAGTACCACAAGAAACTCCCACCCCCTGCACACATAGGAAGATACTCTGGGAAATAGAGAACATTAAATCACAAGGCTTATCTACAGTAACTCCTCGCTTAATGTTGTAGTTATGTTCCTGAAAAATGCGCCTTTAAGTGAAACGATGTTAAGCTAATCCAATTTCCCCATAAGAATTAATGTAAATGGGGGGGCGGGGGGTTAGGTTCCAGGGAAATTTTTTTTCACCAGACAAAAAAAAAAAAATCACACACACACACACACACACACACTAAATTTAAACAAACTAATTTAATACTGTACACAAGAAAT